AAAAAGTTGAATTGTTTATTTAATGTGCTGTATAACTAACTTAGTGGTAAAAGACAACTGGAGAAACACAGCTAAATTTGGGTCAGCCAAACAGAGTGCACTGATTTGAAGTTTGATCTGCAGTTTTTCCCTGAACGTGGTGTATGAGATTTGACAACAGTTAAACTATTAAATTGAACTTCATAAGATTAATTCATTCTTATTAAGACTGGCAAACAGCTCAAATATTTCATTTAGTTGGAACACTTTGTTCAATGAATCACACACTTAAGATCACCTGTTATGAAAATGACTACAGTTTGCTACTGTTCAGTGAGTTTATATCCACTTTCTAAAATAGGTTGTTTGCAATTTTCACTTAAACTGGCTCTGCACATTTTTCTACTGAATTCCATTTGGCAATTGTACCAAAAATTGTCTTATGATTAGACAGTTGTTATGCAGGCCTTACTGACTTTTATCTTGTAAAGAAACAGTGAATCTTAATGTGTGGCCTGTGTAAGAAAAAAGTTGCGGTTGAGTTATCATAGACACTTGGAAAGCTTTTTTTCTGGGAAGATTTGCAGTGAAACAATAGTTCATGCAAGATTAGCTGCTGGTTATTAGGCAACGACACAGCTCTCTGATTCCATTCCTCTCGTCTTTTCTATTTGAGTAAGTCTCAAAGCCTCATAATGAGTTAAAGCTGATCACAAAAAAAATTCAGAAATCATCTACACACTCCACTGCTCTGTGACCATTCCAAAGATTTAAGTGATTAACATGGCAAAATCAGTGGGAGGCTAATTGGATAAACTTTAATCTTTACACCACTAAAGCAAGCGTGGTAAGATCAGAGCGTAAAAAGGAAGTACAATGGTGTTTACAGCAGAACAGTTACCAAACATGTCATAAGGATTACTGTTATCAAGGGATATTTGTCATTTATTTTTGATGGATTTGTAACAGGTTGTTCAGATATAGACAGTGATGCAGATTGCTGCTAATTGCTTTCATTATTGTGTAGATTCCTTAAGTTGAAATTGACAATATATGGTTAGGATTTTGGGGAAGTATAGCGGATTAAGGAACCATGCATATGTTTGCCAGCATTTCAAATTATTCATTGTTTATGCATTTTTCAGTCTTGCTTTTAGTTTTTCTGCTGGAATGTCAAGAGGCCAGCAAAGTGCAGAAAATAGAAAAAAAAGGTTTGTTTTTGGAAAAAAGCTCTTTGCTCTGATGTAGACTGAACTCTCTATGCACTGAGCAATGAATGGACCTCATTTTCAAATTTTGCCAGTATAGACAGCTGCTTTAAGTATTAAGCCTAAACCTGCTTGGAAGTTCTGATGAATTGAATCACGGGGAAGCTATTTTTCACATTTTTCTTCAGTCAGTGTAGAACACTATCGTTTAACTCGCTACTGGAAATGTTATTTAATTTACTAGGCTTGGCCATAAAGTTTTTTTTTGTTCGGGTTAACAATTTTGCATTTAATAAATGGTAAGTGTTTGTCCACAAAAACAATTAACTACTCAGTACTATAGATGGTTCACCAATGATTATACTCTTTGGATAATTTGGAACATATTTACTTTTGTGTGTTGTTCCACAATATGTACCATCCTTGTCACTGAACCTCTATTCATTTTTTGACTGCTTAGTAAGTCTTAACATCTTAACATGATTGAACAGTGATGAGGCCTCCATTGTTTAACCATATTAGCTTTATCCCTTCAATGATAGCTTGAATGAAATCAAAATTACTGTTATATCTATCAGTTGGCCACCTTGTGTATGATTTGCATATTTCTTGATATTTCACAGTTTGACTTCATCTTTTTGTCTCTTGTATACTTGCATGCCATAAGAGATTTCTTGTATAACTATAAATGGCATTTTTTTATAAATTCAAACACAACATTTAGATAATTTCCTTTACAAACTTTTTTTTAAAATTTGTAACTTAGTCTCTCAACGTTGTCATCCCCTGAGCAAAAGTTATTTAGAGCAATATACTTCTGCATTTCAAGTACTTAATTTGAAAATGGAATACATTGTTTGTTTCCAGTTGTGAGGAAGATCTTAATAGATCATTGACTATGTTGGAAGTTACACATTTTGTTTTGCATGGAATTAATTGTGAATATTTAAAATGCCTTAACTTTGATTTTTCCATATCATTTTTGCAGGCATAGTTAAAATGATCAGCGAAATTTTTGTTAAAATTTCATGTAATTTTCAGGTCTAGCCTTATAACTGGAGATCAAAGGACGGGTCCTATCAATCCTTGGTTAATGGAAGAATCAGAGGAGACTAAGGGGTTTGATTTTCATGAAATCAAACATCAACAGCAGAGGATCATACAAGGTAAAACTCATCTTCGTGGAGAGACAAATTCTTACATTTTGTTTGAAAGAGCTCTAAAAATGTTGGCCTCTTTTGCATACTTGAGTATTATTGTTAATATAGATATTTATAAGCTTGAAGTTTCCCATTAATTTTAACAGCCTGAAAAGTGACACTTTTGCTATTAGAGTTTTTAGAAAAAGATAGCCAGGAAATAATTTAATATTATCTTTCCATGTAACTAATACAGAAAATTACAATAAAATGTATATGGTAATGAATTTTATACGTGTTAAAAATAAACAGCGCACCTTAAGTTAAATTGTGAACTATCTCTAGTATTGCCAGAAAATGATATAATTTAAAATTCATTTTGAAGTTTCCATAAAATCTGTAGCTTAAATGCTTGTGTCTTTATTGTGTAACACTGATTAATGCAAAGCAATGATCTTCTTGTTGTCCTTTATTAAATTATCCTTGTAATGTCATGGCCAATATATTGTGATATCCTGCATTGTAAAAACTTTGTATCCACATATTGATTATGAGTTACAAACATGTATCAATAACTTGTGTAATTTGAATTGACTTGAATTCCAAATTCATTAAGTAGGCATGCCACTGTGTGACTATGCAAAGCAAAATTTGTATGTGGTGCAAAAGAATAAATATTAATAACTAGCAGAACTGATTTAGGTTTTATTCTAATCTGGGTAAACTAATTACAGTTGAAAGAAACCATTTGGAAAACTAGTTTCCAGACTATTTGACTCATTTGCAAGAATAATAAAGTAATTCATGACGGTGAGCCTTTGCAGATCTTAAAATTGACATACATACTGTACTGGCTCTGTACTCCATGGCAGCTGGTTCCAAAGAAACTGACCAATTCGATGCCGTACCCTCAATGCATTTGGATTGAATTACTTGGAAAGTACAAGTGTCTTGCATCTAGGTAGACAGCTGTGATTGGAACAACTGAGCTAGTGATGACCATTATAAGCAATTTACAGTGCTCAGGAATATAACAAAATATAATGTATAACTACAACCTGATGGCAGCTTGTGTCATTTAGTGTTGGGTATAAGTCTAATTGATGCAGTCTCAGTGTTCTGGTTCCATACCAATTGTAGCATATCCTCAATCAATTTGAGCATATCAAAATTAAGCATGTGTTCAGGGACATTGCAGGACTATATTTTAAGCTGTACTGTTGGAATTAATGGAATTTCCAAATAAACATTAGAAATATTTTTCACTGTTGGAGACTGTACAGTTCTGTACTTGTGTTTAACTGTGTGTGTATAGAGCTATACTTTTCTTGGACATGAAACCAGTGTGGAAAAGGTAATATAAGTTGGTCTGTCAACTTGCAGTAGATTCAAGCTCATGCTGATGTCATGGCAGTCCATGTAAAAGAACTACACAATAATTCATGATCATAAAGTTATTGACAATGCTTAGTTCAAAATTTTCTACTTTGTCCCTTTTATGAAAGGTTGGATACAATTGTTGAAGGAGATGATCATATGAGCATTTACCAAGACAATGTGGTGAATAAATTTGAAGAGTCTTGGTACAAAATTATTTTTCTTCAACAACTACGACAGCTGTTATCTCATATGAAAATTTTAAGCCTGCTGTTAATATCAAATGGCAAATGTGATAATACAGCCAAAATCTACACCAATGAGTATAGTCCAAAACACAAGAGATGTGGAGAATTATAGAAGTTTTTAAAATTCTTTCGTGGGAAATGGGTGTCTTTGGCAAGGTCAGTATTTATTGCCTAATGCTGGTTACATTTGAGAAGATGGCAGTGAGCCACCTTCGTGAACTGCTGCAGCCCATCTAGTTTAGACATTACAACAGTGCTGTTGGGAGGAGTAATCCAAATATTTGCTTCAGCGACAGTGAAGGAGCAGTTACGTAATTTCCAAGTCAGGGTAGCATTTAGCTTGATGTGGAACTGCAGATGGTGATGTTCCCAGGCATCTGCTGCCCTGTTTCTTTTAAGTGTTAGCGATCACAGGATCGGAACGTCGGATGAACGCATAAAATATATTGTTATCATTTGGGAGTTTGAATTTTAAAGAAGAGACAATTGGGTTTTGGTTTTAGATCTGTGAAGGTGATTTGTTCGTTTTAAAGGTCAGAAAGTCATTTTTGAACAGTGAGTTCAAGCATCATTTCCAAGAAAGTGTATGACTTAAGCGCAATGACCAAATGAATCAAGAGAGAATAGTAGAGGTTAATACGAGGGTTTGCAAAATCTTTGGTACGAGTATAAGCTAATAGATGAAGACGGAACAAGGGAGAAAGAAATGACGTCCAAAGTAGAGTTAATGTGCATTAAGGTATGTAAGTGCTTGGAATATAGTGAATAATATTGGTGAGTTACAGACTCAGATTGACTTGTGGCAAAATGATATTATGGCAATAGAGACCCCACTATGGCAAGCCTGGATGTTAAATATTGCTGCATATAAGTTCTTTTTCTGGAAGGGTAGGAAAGGAAGAGGGGTAGATGGTCTAAAAGGTCACCTCCTTGACTTTATTAATACAGACATTGAGCAAGGGGTTGATGTTGAGCTTTTATAAGACACTTGATAGACCTTTGCTGGAGTATTGGGTACAGTCTGAGTGCCACATTAGAGGAAATACATGAATTTATTGGAAACAGTGCAGAAGCGATTTACAAGAATGGTTGCAGGAATGAGAAACTTCATTTACGAGGATTGATTGAAGAGGTTGGGACTGTTCTGTTTGGAGAGAAGAAGGCTGAGAGGCGATTTGATAGAGGTTTTCAAAATCATGAGCAGACTGGATAGAGTAAATGGGTCAAAACTGTTCCTGTATGTAAAAGGAATAAGAAGAGGAGGGCACAGATTTAAAGTGATGTGCAAAAGAATCAAGGGTGATATGAGAGAGAACATTTTCACTCGGTGAATGGGTAGGATATGGATTCACTGCAAGTATGGTGGAGGCAGGTTCAATTGAGGCAATCAAGGAGGACATTGGATGATTATTAGGATAGAAATACTGTGCGAGGGTATGGAGGGAGAAAAGCAAAAGATTGGCACCAGGTTATGATGCTTGTTTGAACAGTCATTGACGTCTGCAGTACAGAGAAAGGCCTTTTGGCTCATCACGTTTACTCTGGTCAAAAACAACCACCTAACTACCGTGCCGACACAATGGACTGGATGGCTGCCTTCTGTGCTGTAACAATTCTATGATTCTGTTTACACACCAAGAAGTCTGTCTCCAATACTATGCTCTAACAGAAATCACTACTGCTCCAGAAATATTTACATCAAAAGGGGTTGCTATTGAGCAGAAATGGAACTGGCTCAATCATTTGAGTTCTGTAGCTGCATTGGGAATTCCACGTCAAGATCATATATTGGAACAGTTCCAAGCCATATGCCATCCTGATTTGGAACTTTATCAACATTCCTTCACTGCCGCTGAGTCAAAATCCTGGAACCCCTTCCTAACAGCACTGTGGGTATGCCTACACCACAAGAACTGTAGCAGTTCAAGAAGGCAGCTCATCACTATCCTTTACAGGGCAATTAGGGATGGGCATTAAATGCAGGTTGAGCCAGTGTCCCCCCTCCTCACCATATTTTGTAAACTAAAATGGCGTAGACTGTATTTTGCTTTTTGTTTGAAATATTGGCTTTACAATGGTTGCATGCCAGAGTTTGGGTGTTGTTTTAATTTTCTACCTCTTGATTAATCATTGCCTAAAATATTTCAAGACAGTGATTATCTTGGGGCTTCAGAAATGTGGAAAGCTGAGGGAAGATCTGTTCTGTCATGATTTGTCATTTTTTTTTACAGATTGGGGTATTGTTGACACATTGTGAATCTGTATTGTGGATCCTCTTTATAGGTAGAGGTGTGGTGGGTTGACAATGAATGAAAATTGAAATTGTGACTTTATATAAAACATTGATTAAACGTTAAAAAAGAGCAAACTGTAGGCAGAATCAAATAAAATGTTTAGCCAGTTTCCTTTTTGATCAGGTAATTTACTTGGCTTTACTGCACTTTTTCAATATTCAGAGCAAGATGCTGGATTGGAAGCTCTGGTCACAGTGATAGCCAGACAAAAGCAGATGGGTCAAGATATTGGAAATGAACTAGATGAACAAAATGGTGAGATTCTTCTTTTACTAAAGGTTATATTTATTTAAGCTCTAATATATGTCTTGTGTGATAAATTTGGCTAGCTTGCCTTTCACAGTTAGGTTATTCTTGTCTTGCACTATTCATGATAACTATTGCAAATTTATCAAACATGAGAGTGCAATGTTGTTATTTCAAATTCTGTTTATTGTACCTCTATGTCTATAATGTACCTTTTCTATGACGTTCACAAGAACAACCTTGGATTTCTTTTATACTTTTCCTGATTTTCTTTCTTTTTATGGATTAGCTGCCCGTCATAGATTTAAGGTTAAATTTGAAGCTTGCTATATTAAGAATTACGGACCTCTTTCAGAGGCATACCAATCAGTGACGTAGCATTTTGGAGTTTTAGAATGTTGCACTCATCCCTAATTGACCCTATTCATGTGAAATCCGGAGCAAACTTCCTTGAGTAGCCAATGGTGGTCTTAATGTTTTGAAGAATGTGTAGTTTAAAGTTGTAGGTGATGGTTAAAATGTGTAAATCTTAAATATTATAACAAATATTGAAAAAGACATGTGGAATGTTTCCATAAACCTTACTTTTCACAATTTTGCATTTCACCTTTTAACGCAACGTGCATCAATAATCTATACAAAACATCCCTACAAATTGTAGTTGTCCATCAGGCATTCCACCACTAGGTGGCATTGTGTGGATTCTCAGTCTAGTTGGGAAAAGAAAATAAGATTTACATTTCTATAGCATCTTTGATGACCTCAGACCTTCCCAAATTCATACCTAGACAAACAAGTACTTTTGGAGTGTAGATCACGATCAATATACCTGACATAACAGTGGAGGCAATGGTAATGGCATTATGGTTGGACTGTTAATCCAAAGACTCAGTTTATGTTCTGCGGACCCAGGTTTGAATCCTAATTTGGCAGATGGTGGAATTTGAATTCAATAAAAGAAACTGGAATTAAGAGTCTAATAATGACCACAAAACCATTGTTGGTTGTCGGAAAAACCCATCTGGTTCACTAAAGTTCCTTTTGGGAAGGAAACTGCCATCCTTAACTGGATGTGACTCCAAACCCAGAGTGATATCATTGACTCTTAACTGCCCTCTGGGTAATTAGGGACAGGCAATAAATGCTGGACTAGCCAGTGATGCCTTCATTCCATGAATGAATAATGTAAAAATTTGTGTTTACAAAAATTAGGAATTACTTGTCACCGCTGCACTGAAACCCACTTTCCTGTACTGGAAAGCTCATCGGAAAAGTGGGGTTAAAATTGTTTCAGAGGTAGTAGGAACTGCAAATGCTGGAGAATCTGAGATAACAAGGTGTAGAGCTGGATGAACACAGCAGGCCAAGCAGCATCAGAGGAGCAGGAAGGATGATGTTTTGGGCCTAGACCCTTCTTCAGAAAAAAATGGGAAAAGTGGGAACCATTTTATAAATTTTTCACCTCTCTTTTCCTGCAAGATGGCCAGATGTCATCTTCCTTCCCCAGATACATTTCAGCAGATTTAGAGGGGTAAACCATCCGAACAAATTTTCCAGGACATGTGCAGCCCAGTCTCTCTCTAACCGTTGCAGTAGAGATTTACTCAGAAGGTTTCTTCCCTCTTCTTTACCAGTTATGTTAGACTTTAGCATACTGTTCTATGTCTTCTCACTAATTCTTTCCATTGTTCACAGACAATTGAGGCATGAGTTTCATTGCCCTCACTCAGTCACACTCCATTCTATTACTTGCATATGTCGTAAAACCATCTCTCTTCCAATGCTGAGATAACAAGGTGTAGATCTGGATGAACACAGCAGGCCAAGCAGCATCAGAGGAGCAGGAAGGCTGACGTTTTGAGCCTAGACCCTTCTTCAGAAATGGGGGAGGGGAAGGGGGTTCTGAAATAAATAGGGAGAGAGGGGGAGGCGGACAGAAGATGGACAGAGGAGAAGATAGGTGGAGAGGAGACAGACAGGTCTAAGAGGCGGGGATGGAGCCAGTAAAGATGAGCGTAGGTGGGGAGGTAGGGAGGGGATAGGTCAGTCCAGGGAGGATGGAGAGGTCAAGGGGGCGGGATGAGGTTAGTAGGTAGGAGATGGGGGTGGGGCTTGAGGTGGGAGGAAGAACAGGTTAGGGAGGTGGGGACGAGCTGGACTGGTTTTGGGATGCAGTAGGGGGAGGGGAGATTTTGAAGCTTGTGAAGTCCACATTGATACCATTGGGCTGCAGGGTTCCCAAGCGGAATATGAGTTGCTGTTCCTGCAACCTTCGGGTAGCATCGTTGTGGCACTGCAGGAGGCCCAGGATGGATATGTCGTCTGCGGAATGGGAGGGAGAGTTGAAATGGTTCGCGACTGGGAGGTGCAGTTGTTTAGTGCGAACCGAGCGTAGATGTTCTGCAAAGCGGTCCCCAAGCCTCCACTTGGTTTCCCCGTATGTAGAGGAGGCCACAACGGGAACAGCGGACGCAGTATACCACATTAGCAGATGTGCAGGTGAACATCTGCTTGATGCGGAAGGTCTTGTTGGGGCCTGGGATGGGGGTGAGGGGGGAGGTGTAGGGGCAGGTGTAGCACTTCCTGCGGTTGCAGGGAAAAGTGCCGGGTGAGGTGGGGTTGGAGGGGAGTGTGGAGCGGACAAGGGAGTCACGGAGAGAGTGGTCCCTCTGGAAAGCAGATAAAGGTGGGGAGGGAAAGATGTCTTTGGTGGTGGGGTCGGATTGCAGATGGCGGAAGTGTCGGAGGATGATGCGTTGGATCCGGAGGTTGGTGGGGTGGTATGTGAGGACAAGGGGGATTTTGTTTTGGTTGTTATTGCGGGGAGGGGGTGTGTGAGGGATGAGTTGCGGGAGATGTGGGAGACACGGCTGAGGGCGTTCTCGACCACTGAGGGGGGGGAGTTGCGGTCCTTGAAAAACGAGGACATCTGAGATGTACAGGAGTGGAATGCCTCATCCTGGGAGCAGATGCGGCAGAGGCGAAGGAATTAGGAATAGGGAATGGCATTTTTGCAGGAAGGTGGGTGGGAGGAGGTGTGTTCTAGGTAGCTGTGGGAGTCGGTGGGCTTGAAATGGATATCGGTTTCTAGGTGCTTGCCAGAGATGAAGACAGAGAGGTCCAGGAATGAGAGAGAGGGATTAGAGATGGTCCAGGTGAACTTAAGGTTGGGGTGGAAGGTGTTGGTGAAGTGGATGAACTGTTTGAGCTCCTGATGGGAGCACGAGGCGGCGCCGATACAGTCATCAATGTAACGGAGGAAGAGGTGGGGTTTAGGGCCAGTGTAGGTACAGAAGAGGGATTGTTCCACGTAACCTACAAAGAGGCAGGCATAGCTTGGGCCCATGCGGGTACCCATGGCCACCCCCTTTGTCTGTAGGAAGTGGGAGGAATTGAAAGAGAAGTTGTTGAAGGTGAGGACGAGTTCGGCTAAGCGGATGAGGGTGTCAGTGGAGGGGGACTGGTCGGGCCTGCGGAACAGGAGGAAGCGGAGGGCCTTTAGGCCATCTGTATGGGGAATGCAGGTGTATAGGGACTGGACATCCATGGTAAAGATGAGGTGTTGGGAACCGGGGAATTGGAAGTTCTGGAGGAGGTGGAGGGCGTGGGTGGTGTCACGGACGTAGGTAGGGAATTCCTGGACCAAGGGGGAGAAAATGGAGTCCAGATAGGTGGAGATAGGTTCGGTGGGGCAGGAGTAGGCGGAGACAATGGGTCGACCAGGGCAGTCAGGTTTGTGGATTTTGGGAAGGAGATAGAAGAGGGCGGTGCGGGGTTGGGGAACGATGAGGTTGGAGGCTGTGGGTGGGAGGTCACCTGAAGTGATGAGGTTGTGGATGGTTTGGGAGATGATTTTTTGGTGGTCGGGGGTGGGGGTCATGATCAAGGGGGCTGTAGGAGGAGATATCGGAGAGTTGGCGTCTGGCCTCGGCGATGTAGAGGTCAGTGCGCCATACTACAACCGCACCTCCCTTGTCCGTGGGTTTTATGGTGAGGTTGGGATTGGAGCGGAGGGCTGCACGTTCTGCGGGGGATAGGTTGGAGTGGGTGAGAGCGGTGGAGAGTTTGAGGCGATTGATGTCTCGATGGCAGTTGGAGATGAAGAGG